GCTTTAGCAGGAGCCTGCCTTCACCCCCAGGCGAGGTTTGCGGGCTTTTCCGCTTTCCTTTCCCTGCTAGTCCATCACAACTGACATACAAAATGCCAGGCAATCCACTCGAGTTGTCCTCCATGGAAAGCTGATTGCCATCCCCCTCCTCTCTTGTTGGGTGGCACAGTTAGGCCACTTAATATCAATATTCTCTTTGTGCAGGGAGATGGGGGCAATTGCCCTGACTGTCAGAATAATTGCACACAGATATCTGCACACATGCGATTACTTGTGCAGACACACAAGCCCAGCTCAGTCTCACACACTGGAAAACACAATAACTGGGACACACACTAAATACAATAAAGGCGACACACAGACACACACACACGTGCGCATGTACACGCATGTAAGACCACATGCACAGGAGAAATGGGCAGAATGGGGCCATGTAAAGTAGGAGTCACAGGCATATTCGCTCCAGCTAGTACGAGGAGACGTGAAGAAAGCCGCCATTCTTCCAGGCAGGGAGACACACTCATGCAGAAAGCAGCTACCACACATTTAAGTGTGGCCTCAGGCTCGTACCAAAAGTATGAGTGAGATGGATGGACAGGCAGGGACAGGGACTGTTCTGTAGATTGAGGCCCACATCAGTTTGAGCTGAGGCTGAGGACAACAAAAGACTGATCTTGAAATTACTTTAATCAGACTCATGATGACATATTTCATCAGTTGTGTTGTGCGATCATTCACAAAGCACTTGCAAGTCTGGGATGTTGTACACACACAAATTAAACTGAGACACTGTCACATAAATTACGACACTGCCTGTAATGTAACAATGGCCACTGGATGCTTCTTAGGCAATTTAGATGTTTCACAAAAACATTTGTCTAAGACGACCATGTGAACAAAATAAGTCCAAATAAGAAATTGTTTGCTTTTTTGGGGCATATTTAGACACAAATCTTTGATCGTCTTTTAGTCAGTGCCTACAGACAAAGGTGGTTTACTTGAACAACACAAGGAAAATAGCTTTTCCAATAATTTCTGTGGCAAAAACATCAATACTTGTAATATTCTGTAGTTGAATAATGTAAGAACACACTTGGCATCAGAAGCTAGATTGACCCGTTATGCCTTGTTTTGCATAATCGTTCTCCAGTCTCGGACAGCAGCTCGCTGAAATTCTTGACCACCACCATGCAAATTTCCTTCAGCTGCCAGATGTTTGAGGGTTTTCTTGCATGTGCTACCTGTGTCAAATCCCCTCACAGCATTTCAAGGGGATTCAAATCTGGGCTTTTACATAAGCCGCCTTTTTTTTTTTTCTTTTTGATCCATTCCTTGGTGGATTTGTTAGTCTGATTAGGATCATAGCCCTGCTAAAAGGTCCACCACGGCTTCAATTTCAGCTTTTGGACAGATGGCCACACATCATCTTCAAGCACTTTTATATGTATGTTGTAGAATTCCAAGCAGAATCAATGACTGCAAGCTGTCCACTCCCCGAGGCAGCGAGGCAACTCCAAGCTATAACATTTCTCCAACCATACTTCATAGTTGGTATGAGGTTCTTCTCCTGTCTTTGATCTGTGCCAAACATGTCTACTGTTACTTTGGCCAAACAGCTCTTTGAATTATCCGCACAGAGCACATTATTCAAAAAGGCCTCAGCTTTGCTCGTATTTTTTAACTGTAGTTTTGTTCTTTTTGGAAAGCAAAGGCTTTTTCCTGGCCCGCCTCACATGCAGGATAAATTTCTGTGATCTCTGTCTGATTGTAGACGTCTGCACTTTGACAGCTGCAAGAGTTACCTGCAGATCCTGTGATGAATTCTTGGAGACTTTTTTTTTTTCACATCAAATGCTTTGTTCTTGGGCTGAATTTGTTGGACCAGAAGGTTGTTTGAAATCTGCGGCACTTGTACATGGTTTTCCCTATCATGTAATGATTTATTTCAAATACTTTGGAAATCTTCTTAAGTCCTTTAGCAGAGTAAGGCATCCACAACCTTTTTTCTGAAGGGCTTAGGGAGCTCTTTAGGTCTTAGCAAGAGGACAATTCAGACTTTAAAGTGAAGAGAACACCAGATCCTAGATGTCAGAAGTTTCCCCTGTCACTACCAAAGATGCTCTAATCCCTGGCAGCCCCTCATTCTTAATTTATGGATTTAAATGTGTTGCAAAAGCTGTGAATCATGCCATCCTGGTGAGATTACTTTTTCCATGGAACCAATCTGAGTTTTTTTATTCTTTTAAACTATGAAAACAAAAAAACATGTTTGTCTGCACTGTGTCAATGTATGTTCCTCTTTAAATATGTTCTAAAAAGGCTGACCGTTTCTATGGGAATCTAAGAGCTTTAAGCTAGAAGGCAGCTTGATTTCTCTTTTTGGTTCATGAAGATGTTTCACCTCTCTCTCCCAAATGGCTTCTTTAGTTTTCATGAGACGTGCTTGTCTTTTGCAGCGCAATCTAACCATAAGGTACCTGTCCACTGTGAAAGTCGGTAGCAAAGTGAAAGGTCACTTTCCTGGTAAAAGGAAAAAATCTGGAATTTAAGTGCAAATTTAAACAATGAAAAGGTTTAAAGAACAATACTGTAATATGTGGGTTGAACCAATAGCTGCTAAAATGTGAGATTTTATTGGACGCTCGTGTTTCCCACTCTTCACTTCCCATACTTTCAGGTATAGAAGGATATATTTGAAGGAGCAGTTGGCTGTGTTGATCAGCTCCCACATCTGTCATGATGTTTATGTATGTCTCTGATCAGTCCTAAAATCGTGCCTAGTCCTGTACAGTTGGCTACTAAAGCATCTTTGTAGCAACAGCACAACGTCTTCACCCTTTGTTCAGTAATTTCTCAGAGACATTAGAGCATAGCGCCTGTGGGTCAGATATACACACTGTTTATTATGAGGTTACTATAGGTTATGTAGCTGGCTCACAATTAATGCTTGCGTGCTTCCTGCATTTTTATGTCCCAGCAGAGCTCGATCCAACCCTACATGTTCACACGCAAAAAAAAAAATGCATGGGCTGTAAAATGCTTGAATTATTGAATGAAGCTGAGTGTGAGTGTGTGCAGACCCTTACATATGTTTCTGTGAAATGCTCAGAACTATGTCACACAGCTCATGCTCCACTGCACCCATTTACTGGTGCAGCATCCTTCCAATGTGCAGATCTAGACCATACCAATTGAGAACGATCAAAACATACTCACAAGGCCTGACTCCACACAGAAACACACACACACACACACACACACACACACACACGTCCACTGATGCATGGCGATTTGCACAAATGCTCTCATACAGTCTGTAGGCATGTAGTGTAGCCTTTGTTGTAAGCAATCAATATAAGTGCACTATTTTGTGACATGCATACACATATTTCACACGTGCACAAGCGCGCGCACACTCACACTCGCATGAAGGGCAGTGCTGTGTGCAGTCAAGCTAAGTGTTGTGTTTCATTGCTCTGGTCTCCATTCAGTGCTGTTATGGTTCTGCTCTGATTTTTCTGTTATCGCTTGTAAAAGCTGTATTGAGCTCCGCTTTAGTGCACTCGGATGATATGAACTTTGAAATAAGTGAATAGATGCAGGTCACATGGACGCCAACTGCCCACAGTGAGCATAATGTTGTTCACAGTTGCCGATTTATGAGCACATCGGTAGAATATGTTGATGATGTTGGCTCTATACAAAGACAAGATGTTTTAAGATGTGAGTCTGGGTAGTTTGCTGCTTGTATTCTAATTGAGAACCTAAGAGGGTTTTTTCACTAAAGGCATATTTTTTTAAGTTAAAAACTATATTCACATAATCACTTAGGTTCAATCCATTGGTACCTCACAGAAACATACTATTAGTAGTTTTTCTTCTTTATGAAGCTCACAGCCAAGGCTGCCACTTGTGAGAAACTGAGAGAATATAAGTTGTAGATCTGTGTGCACTTTCACGAATCTCATTTTATGTTTTGTCCCGTCTCATGTCCTGCGGTGCATTTTTATTATTGAAGCCCTAATTTTATTTTGATGGCACAGCAGGTTTTTGGAACAAACTGATGAATAATTCACCTCTACAGGATAAACCACGAGCTAAAGAGAGGAGCTCCAAGTTGCTCAACACAAAGGAGATATTACTGTAGCGGTTACACTGAGTGAATTCATCTCTGCATCTCCTGTTTTTATACTTCATCAAACTGTCACCAGAATTTAAAAAAGCCAAAGTAAAATCACACAGAATCCCTGTTTAAAATCTTTATGGGTGTCAGCAGTAGCTGTTGAATGAATTTTCCAATCATGTTGGGAATTCTACCCTGCGGCTTGAAGGTCACAAGTCTTACTCTCTAACCTTTAGTTCACCACTGCAGTGTACGGAGTATATATTCTGTAGTGTGTGAACAGCCCTGCTGTTTGTTTGCTCAATTTATTGGCACATGGTGGCGGCTCAGCCTTCAGAGGTCTGTCTTGCTGTCCCCTGCTTCAAAGCAATATTTGGTAATATGATTGCCGCTATACATATTTCATCAGCTTCTAAATATTGATGAAATATTGAGTAGTAGTGTAAGTTGCAGCAGAGGAGGTAAAACGCGCTTGTCCTCCCTCTCGCTTTTCCTCTATCCTCTTTGATGGCTATTTCAGGGTAAATATGAGCCTTCTCATACATGCCACTGATAGCAGTTAACTTTTTTCCTGAGCCTGTGTGTGTGTGTGTCTATATATATATATATGTGAGTGTGTGTGTGGGTTAACGTCATACAAACTCTTTCCCACATGCATGACAGGTTTAATAACAAGCCTGTCATGCTGGTTTGCACTGATATTAGAATATAGCATTTGTAAGATGAACTGTGTGGGTGTTTACAGAGGATCTGTTGATAATTAACAATATTGTACAAGCTGATGTTTTCAGCTGACGTCATAGAGTTTTGTTACAAGTTTTAGCACAAATTAAAACCCTGTTCTTCCCATTTCTTTTGTCCTTTGTCTCCTCCAAAGCCTTTTCATCCGATGGTAAACCTGGTGTGCAGCGCTGATCTGAGGATGTTCCTGTGTGCCCTGTACGCCCCAGTGTGTACTAAGTATGGCCAGATGTCCATGCCATGTCGATCCATCTGCCAGCGGGCCAAGGATGAGTGTCATAAACTCATGGAGATATTTGGAGTAGCTTGGCCAGATGACATGGAGTGCAGCAGGTATAAATGCATGATATGTTCAATGAACTCTGTGCATAAAAGTATAGACAGTGTCACTGAAAGAGTATTGACAAGTCAGAGGTATATACAGCTGGTAACAGTTTTTGGGTTCATTCACAGTATATGTTATATATTCACACAACTGAACCTTCAGTTTGTGTTTTGAATACTCCTGTATACTGTCTTTGACTGTTACTTCATGTTTCTCTACCATATCTTCATACTGCAGCTCCACGCTTATTTTTTATCTTTTATTCTGTCTCACTTGTTTTCACAGTCTTTGCATTGAGCTCTCTGACTGCTTTGTGTACATTTCTCTTTTACATGTTAATACACTCAGTTGCCAGTTCACGAGGTGCATATATTGTCCTTATTTACAAATAACAGACTGATATGTACAGAAATATAAAAATGTAAATAAGTAGTGCAAAGTGATATTAATGATATTTATTGTGCAAAATTGCAAGGGATGAGTAATGTGTATCGATTAGTCAATCTTATCTTTTGTTGTAGGCGCTGTTTGTGCTGCAATTAAGTTGTATTGTTTTATGCAAAGTAATAGTTGTTAACATTTGGTTGTATTCATAGAGGTCACTGAAAAATTGAAAGCAGATTAAGCTGCATGGTCAGACATACTTTTTATTCTCCAGGTTCCCAGACTGTGATGAACCCTATCCTCGTCTTGAGGACCTGCAAACCAGCTCTGAACCCACTGACCAGTCATCCATGACCGTTCAGAGAGATTATGGTTTCTGGTGCCCCCGAGAGCTAAAGGTCGACCCAGACCTCGGTTACGCTTTCATGGGCAGGAAAGACTGTTCTGCTCCGTGCCCCTCGATGTTCTTCAACCAGCAGGAACTGACCTTCACTCGATACTTTATCGGAGTTGTCTCTATTGTGTGTCTGTCGGCAACGCTCTTCACCTTCCTGACGTTCCTCATTGATGTTACAAGGTTTGAAAGGCTGAATGTTGTCTAACGTTTTATAGCAGTTTATTTAGTGGCATTTCTCCAAACACTTCCAACCTCAAGAACTATCAAGGATTTTGTAAACATGTCCAAAAAAGTCTGTAAAAACTGACTAAATGGAATATAAAAATAAAATCAGTTGGACTTAAAGTAATGTGCACATTTAAATTTAAAGGAAAGTGGACAGTACACTAAACCAGTGTTCTTTTATCTTCAGGTTCAGATACCCTGAGCGACCAATCATCTTCTATGCGGTGTGTTACGTCATGGTGTCGCTGGTGTTCTTCCTGGGCTTCCTGTTGGAAGACAGGGTTGCTTGCAACGCAGTCAGCCCTGCTCAGTTCAGGGCTTCAACCATAACACAGGGATCACACAACAAGGTGAGCGCTTTAGGTCATTTCCATGTAGCATTTCTGCACTAACCTCACACATTTACCTCTTGGTAATGATTTAGGTTGATCATAATCCTGTTGGATGTACTGTGTAATGTACTGGAAAACTTCTTCATTAACAAGCGTTTTGCAAATCTGTGATGCTGTTACAGGGTGAAAAACTTCTGCAGACACATTGTGTTTTTGTAGACAGTACGACAAGCCTTTTATTGTTATTATGATGCATGTGTGCTCTCTGTTTACCTGCAACACATTTAATGTCCGTAGACGTATACTCTTAAATTGATAATCCAATCAGGTCTTACACTGCAAACAAAGTCATTGCAGAGCCTACAGATGTGCTGAATTCTGCCACTAATTTATGGTTATAAAAGTCATTGCCCCCACTTTTCTCTCTCAGGCCTGCACCCTGTTCTTCATGGTCCTGTATTTCTTCACCATGGCCGGCAGTGTGTGGTGGGTCATACTGACAATCACTTGGTTCTTGGCCGCGGTGCCTAAATGGGGCAGCGAGGCCATCGAGAAGAAAGCCCTCCTCTTCCATGCCGTTGCCTGGGGCCTCCCAGGGGCCCTGACTGTCACCCTGTTGGCCCTGAATAAAATTGAGGGAGATGGGATCAGTGGAGTGTGTTTCATAGGGCTGTATGACATAGACGCCCTGAGGTGGTTTGTTCTGGCACCACTCTGCCTCAATGTGGCGGTAAGTACAGTCACAAGATAAATGAGTGGGTGGTTGGATGAAAGAAGTGATGAGTGCGATGGTCGCATGGATGGATGGGTGAAAAGATTAATGGGTGGATAAAATGATAAAGTGTGGGAAAGATGGATAGATCAGTAAATGATTGGTAGATGGTTGAACATCTTTGGCCTGTCTGCATGTCAGTCATCCAGCTCTTTAAAAAGTAATCAGCAATTTTAATCTTATGAGATCTATCAACGAGCCTCGACTTCTCATTTGTCTTTCTTTCTTCAGGTTGGCGTCTCCCTGCTTTTAGTGGGAATCGTCGCTTTGAACCGCGTGCGCATGGAGATCCCGCTGGAGAAGGAAAACCAGACCAAACTAGTGAAGTTCATGATTCGAATGGGAGTGTTCTCTGTGCTCTACCTGGTCCCCTTGTTGACTGTGATCGGGTGCTACATGTACGAACACACCTACCGGAGCATTTGGGAGACAACATGGATGGAGGAGAACTGCAAGCGCTATCACATCCCCTGTCCATACAAGGTAAAGAGAGAGGAACATGTGATGGGGCTATGCTTGCAAGATGAACTATGGGTTTTTTAAGAGGTGGTATAATAATGCGATGCTTCAGGAAGACACCACTGGTGCCTGTCAAGGAGGTGCAAATATAAATAACTTTAAAAGTTAGCATCAGTTGTACTGTAACTGTATACTTGGATCATTTCCTGAATTCCGCGGGTATCATGAGATAAATACGCCTGTTGAGTAGCTCAGCAAAACCCTCCTTCTGCCATATGTCTGAAAACAGATGACTTCTTAGGAGCTGCCTGTCTTCTCAGCTGGCCGCTGAAAACAAATACACAGATAGACTTTTGACATGATATCCAGCTGTATTCTTGTCACTCAGACTCGGTGCTGGTTGTCACACTGCCAAAGTTAGCTGGTGTAAAGTACTCAGGTGTTTGCTCCTGAGGATACAGTGTCTGTCTTTCCTCTTTAAATCACTCACAGAGCTTCTATCTTTAAGAGAGAAAGTGACAGTAGGCAATATTTCAGGGATGTATTCCCAAATGTAGTTGCTGATGGTTAATGAAATGCAATCATTCAGATGATCAAAAAGGTTGGAACCCATCCAGCAGTTCAGTTAGCTTTTATAAACCCATTACTTCTGAGAAAGACTTAAATAATACCCGCAGGGAGCGCGCTTTGTGAACAGTTGCTCAGACTTGTGAAAGCTGTACAATTTTACAAGAATACAACCAAATGCTGGGAGATGGAGAAGGTTTGATGTAAACAATAGCCAAGACTGCATGTGTTTGTAGAGCTGAAGCAGCTCCGTGGCTAACAGGACAATATGTGAGCTGCAGAAACTTTCTCTTACAGTAATGTCAAGAGTGGCACCAGTTTTTGTTATTAGAAGCAGCAAGCCCTCCGCCTCCTCTCTTCCCAGTCTTTGATCCGTTCCTGTCAGCCCGAACTGTCTGAAAGCCGTCGAAGGTAACAACAGGGTATGGAGTAATTCCTGCAGCCATGTCTCTGTCAAACACACAACAATAGAGTCATGGAAGTCCCCTCGATTCCTCACCAGGGCCATTAGCTCATCCACCTCATTCTCCATGATGACAAAAGGGAGACACGGCTTTGATCTCCTAATTATCGCCTCATTTTACCCAAAATGATAACATCTCTCTAATTTTACAGGAAAATGTTTTCAGACAACTGTTTTAAAAAATGAAAGAAAAAAGGAGTGTAATTATTGAGTTCTGACGTTTTAAACATTGATCATAGTTTGTAACAGACAATTATGGCAATAATTTCAAAGTTTCTCTTTCAAATAAGTTCCTGCCTTTGTTGTTAAATGTCCCATGTCTAATCCGTTAACGTAATTACAGTAATGTTATCTCTAAAAGAAACTACAAGAAGAACACCCAGGTGGTGCTCAGCTGAAATTGTGATTTAATGATTAAAAACTAAGTGTGTGCTTGGGTTGGTGAGTGTGTAGGATCGAGGGCTGGCACTTCGATGTGTGTGTAGCTGAGTGAGAAGGTATTTGTGGAGGAGGGGACCAGGGTGCAGTATGCATCATTAGCTCAGCTAATACAGCCCTCCTCACCAACTCCACACAAAACTGGCATTTTTGTTTTGCCCTTTGTTTCTTTGTCTCCCACTCTTTCAGCTGGTTTTCACACACTTCCATCTTTCAGTCTCCCCCTTCCAGCCCTCTGCTCCGTCTCTCTCCCAGGGCTTGCTCAGTCATGCTCTGCTGCCTGTACTCTATGAGGGCTTTGTAGCGGTTATGAAGAGTGGTGGGAGTGTGGTGTTTTACACAGTCTGGCACTAAATTAATAACCAGATAAATGTGCACAGCGCAGACACAAACATACTCCATCGCTGCTAGTCACAAGTACGCACGCAAGGCAAGGAAACACGTCAAACTTTTACTTCAAAAGCATCTGTTTATGTTTCCATTCTCCACCATTATTACGTCGGAGCACCGTTACAGTGGTTTCATAATAGACAAGTGCCAGCTAATTTGTGACTGACACACTATATGAGAGGGTGGAGGCAGGTGCAGCAGCTTATGTTACTTGTTAGTGTATGTGTTCGTGTCTGTAGCTGTGTGTGTGTGCGAGAGCTGGTGAAGAGAGACCCCCTTTACGTCCTATTGTAGCTCTGGAATTTCAATATTGCTATGTGTTACTTGATCTTTGCCCTGAGGGGGGGTTCTGCGTGCAAATGTTAGCGTGTGAGAGACAGGGTACAATTTCATGTTTTTGGATAATTGAAGATTCCATCAGCATTGTTCAAGTTCAAGTGACTTTCTTTGTGTGTGTGTGTGTGTGTGTGTGTGTGTGTGTGTGTGTTCATGGGTGGTAATGTACTGAAGGCCCAGGGCTTCTTGTTTTTATCTCAGGACCTAAATCTGAGACATTTAATCTCAACCCAGGCGAGACGGACTTAAGCTAATTAATACAGACCAATTGTTCTGGTCTCTGCTTCTCTCAAAACCCAGAAACACCTAATCTTTGTAAAACTCCTCCTCCCCAAGGAGTCGCCATCGTAGATACCGTGAGTGCCAAAGTAGTTTGTCAGCAGCACCGTTATTGAGATTTCACCTTCATTTTAATGGATAAAAAATAAAGCTGTTGAAAAGTCAACTTAACTGAAGGTAATGGTTTGTCTACAAAATACTTCAGTGTGTGTA